TCAGCTTCTCGCACCGTGGTGAGTCGATGAGCCACCATGAGGACCGTCCGACCAGCACCTGCCTGATCCAGTGCTCGCTGAACCGACTTTTCTGTCCGCGTATCCAAAGCAGAAGTGGCTTCATCCAGCAGAAGAACCTTTGGACGTCGAATCAACGCTCTGGCGATTGCGATTCTTTGTCTTTGGCCACCCGACAGCTTAGCTCCTCCCTCATTCAGCCATGTATCAAAGCCCTGTTACGAGGACGAAGTTACATAATCACAATTGTAGGGCGAAAGTTGATAAAGAAGTGATTTAAATGACATACGTCTGGCAGCCTCTTAATAAATTCAGAGGCCTCAGCCAGCTGAGCAGCCTCTATAACGTCATCCATGGTGGCTTCTAGGTCTCCCATACGAATGTTTTCAAAAATTGTGCCTGTGAACAGTGTTGCTTCCTGAGAGACAGTTCCCAGTTGCATTCGAAGCCACCCAACATCGAGATCTCGAATATTTTTTCCATCAATGTAGATTTCACCATTCTGAGGGTCGTAGAGTCGTTGTATAAGATGAATCGCTGTACTTTTTCCAGAGCCACTGAAACCCACTATTGCAACCTTCTTTCCTGGTTCAACTGTCAAGTTAAAATTCTTTAATATCTAAATTGCAAAAACAGAGCGATAATAATTGCGCGCAGATCTAAAAGGAATCATTTAACTATGGACCTACTGGTACATCAGGTCGACTAGGATAACTAAAATTGACATTTTTGAATTCAATCTTCCCTTGGAATTTCGGTATCACCTCCCCAATCTTTTCAATATCAATAGGAGGTACGCGATTGATAATAGCGTAGACTTTTTTGGCGGCCGTTACCGCTCTTGCAAGGGCCTCAATTTCGGGCAGCGCCTTACCAATGGCAATGCTAGAGATGATAATACTCACAACAACCTACAAAAACATGTTGTAAAAAATGCCTGGAATAACTGAAATTAGCCAAATTCTATCGAAGAATGAAAAAAATAATTTACTTACTAGAATAACGGTACCGTTGCTAAAACGCTCCGTGCGGACCAGAGTGATTCCGTACCACAGAGAGAGAGCAGCAGCCGAGAAAATCGACAGACTGACGAAACCATTCCCTTATATGAAAAATAACATCTTTGACAAGATGAAGCTTAATGTAATGTCTAAAATAAAGCGTTTTGTGAACACCCATTAAAAATTCAACGATAATATTTGCGATAATTTTCGCTAAGAGAAAAGCTAACAGATTTTTACCAAATTATTTACCAGCACCGATAGCCATGCCTTTGCGAATTCCAGTTCGTTCAGCCTTATATAATTCGTTAGCGTAGCGTTCGTAGGTTTTTTTTTGACCACCGTAAGCGAAAACAGTTCGGATTGAGGCGAGAACTTCACCAGCGATACCACCAGCTTGACTGTAGGCTTGAATCTCCTTCGTGTTAAAATACTTGAGAGTAAATGCGAGAAAGGCAAAGGAAACACCAATGAGAGGTAGGGAGGCAGAAGCTACAAGAGCAAGCTTCCAACCCTTCACGTAAGCCATAATGATGCAGCCGACAAAGAGGACGGTGTCTCGAACAAAGCTACCCACACGATTCCCAATGCCACCTTGAATTTCGGGTACACTGCTCGACAGAAGACTGATAAGACTTCCTGAGGCTTTAGAGTCCATCCACCCAGCATCCTGACGAATGAGACTCTAAGTAATTTAAGGTATTATTCTTAGTATAAAACCACGATTTGTTCATCTTTTTGAGTAAAAACACATACATTGAAGAAAAGAAGACGAATACGCCTTGCTTGCCTTTTGGAAGACAGTGTTAAGAAGTACATTTGCACAAAACCAAGAACAAGTGATGATATTGCCAGGTACACAAAAAGTGGGATTTGCTCCTCAATCAGATCTGCAGCCTTGAAAAAATTCCTTATAAGTTTGTCGACCATATCAGCGAAAAGGGCCATGCTCAGTGGAAACAGAGAGCCCAGTCCAGCACTGCATAAAATTCCAAAGGCAAACATTATAACTTCCGTCGGTTTTGCGTAACGGAACTGCAATAAAAATTTAAAAAGTATGACATCATTACTAGGCCGCAGTAGTTTAGTTTATCCAATTCAGAATCATCGTCAGACCTAAAGTTGTGTAAACGGGAAAGAAGAACATACATATCATCAAAGTCAAGCTGGTCTTTATTCGTTACTTCAATTTCGTCATCAAATACGGCAACTGATTTCTCCCTCCTACCCATCTTGCTCCAATTCGGCCAAGTCAAAGTGCGACGATTTAGCTCAGCCTTGAATAATTGAATGAGTGGCTTATACAAACAATGTAATAAATGTAGTGATCATCTTATAATATATCGCTTCTTGGTGCTAAAAAGATAGTTGCTAAAGCTTTTGCCATTTGTTTGAGTTTTTACGGCAGGTCGAAAAGAGTCACCGATTTATTAGCGTGCATTAACGACGACTCAAATATTATCACTAAATGTATTTTATTTATGTTATTGAGACTGTCTTTGAAGTTTAATCAAATAACTTTTAACCACATTTGTTTTGATCCTACTTTTTTATAGTAATATAGCTCTTTGCATATTATTTTGACCTTTTGTGGCTACGTCTCCTCTACTCTAAAAATTGCGGAACGTTTTGGCCATTACTGCAATACCCTTTTTGTTCGTCCACCTCTGTGGATGACGCTCACTTAGGCAATCACCTTGCTCTCAGATACGTGGGCTTTCCCTCTGGCCAAGCCAAATCTTACAGATATTCAGCTCATTTTAATGCCTTCTACTACTGGAGGTTTTGAGACGCAAAAATACTTGTTTCCATACAGTTTCATTCTTGCCTAACTGAACGTCAAACATATTAAAGCTAACTATAACGTCCCGAGAAATCCCATTAGGTAGTATAAGGCATTTTATAGGGCTGCATTCTTACATTCAGAGAGAAGGTGAAGAGTGTGATATTTGGCTTGAACTGAAGTCGTGATTATGCACGCAAAGGAAAGATGAGTACTATACTGACCGCTACTCATACAATTAACCTATTAGTACTACTATTAATACTAATTTTATTTATAATGCTTTTTAGCGTTTGTATGCCAGTTACCTTTAAAATGAAAACAGTGCTGATTTTTAGTTTAGCCGATTCCACACATTTTAAGGAAAAAAAGAAGGACTTTTAGTTTTTGGAATGGTCCTGAGGCCAGCCCGCTTGGGAGAGGCATACTGGCTACTGATTTGGGCTTAATGATCTTCCCGCTTCTGCCGCGTTTCGTGGCTTTCGTGTAAAGCCATAGCCCGAGCCACCACATTTTTATCCTCTCAGCACCATAGACTAATCATAATTCATTTGGTGCTGCTACAGAACTTATCTCATCCTCTCTTGGATAATTAAGCCTTCTCAATCTCCATTCATGAACATGGTAATAAGCGGACACTTTCCGTTGCCAAAAGCAATACTAAAAGGACGCCCGAACATGTCTATTTTTGCATGTTTTACCATCCTTTAAAGTCGTTCCCAGTTCTCCTGCCTCAACTATGTACAAAGCAATGAAATGCCTCTTCATCCTTCCACAGAGTGGGAAAGCTAATGCCACATTTGCTTCCATTTACCTCTAAGACACTCGAATCCTAAGCGATTGCACATTTTTAGTGCATCCAGCCACCATGTCTACCTTACAGACGATTTTGTTAACGCTTATTGTTGTCACTGATAGCTTGCTTGCGACTCACACTACGAGAACTTTGAAATTTATTTGCTTTTAGCAGCCGGATTATTTTAAGAAAAGTGTACTACCTGATTTGCTCAGAATGCAATCACCTAATAGAAATAGTGCTCCTGTTTTCGTGACTTTCTCTTTTCTAAGTCTTGGCTGACCTTTTCTTTGTTCCCCTTTACAACTTAAGGTCACCTTCAGTAAGTTCATCTGGAACATTTTCTGTGTGAGATAAGGGAACCTCCTAGGACCTCTCCTTCTCGCATCGATCCTCTCCGCTCAAGCGGGTAACGACGAAACTCTAAATGAAATATTTGTTTCGAACCACTTTGGGTGGCATCACGCTAGCGTTCTCGCTTTCCTACATAGCTAGCAGTTCATTGAGAATGCAGAGTAATCGACATAATCCCATCCAATTTACGGTCGTCAGTTCCTATGCCCGTAAATTCAACGCCTCAGTCGTCCACCTCTACTGTTCGCGTCTAATCATAGCTCATAGCGTTAGTGCTTCAGATTACGTTGGGTATTAGCAGTTCTGGGCCAAGATTGACTGTAGACATGAGTAAAGTAGAGCACTTGATTACCAAAAGTAGTCTAGCTTGTTATGTCAGAAGCAAAAGTCACACCTTGGCTCCTGTCACTGCAAATCTGCATGCGGTGCCAAAGGAGGTGGCGAAAGCCTTTATAATGCACAAGATCCACTTGTTGCAGCTGCTGTGCTAACCGCAGTGTTCTTCGGATTCGTTGATTTCGCATTGCTCACAGCTCTTCTACACTCCACAACGAGTTCATTGTTTTCGACACGTAATTCGTAAGCACACACAATTTTGTGGAGTTGTCGGTGGTATTTCTTTGCTATCATTCCGCAACCACATTTATCAGTCCTTTATATGACACCCATGATCAGCAAGTCTACAGTCGAATATTTTATGCCCCACCTTTGCAGGTAAAATTAGACGAGAGTGAAAATATTTATTCAAAGGAGATACTAATGCAATGCTTTATTGTGTGTAGAGCTGTCAAATTTCGGACTGCTGCTGTGGATACCCACCCGCCATCATATTTTATTAGATCCTTCAATTACTTAGTTTGCACCTAAAGTTGACATCTGTCAGGTTCTTCAGTCTTTTTACTCAAGCTTCCCATAGGCATTCAAAACCTTTTAAGACGTTGTCATTTGCATTGTGATCACGGATCTGCCTCACGTGGTGGACTGCGAGGTCGAAAAAGCGGAATCCGTGATGTCTCATCCACTTTTTTTTTCACTCCTTGGCAAGAACGTGGACCACATTTAGCTGAATGTAAAGGAGCACAAAGGAAAAATGCAGTCTCATTCTCACAAAACCACTTTGAAATTCATTCTCCATTAAAAAACTCGAATTTTGACGTTTTATTCTTAAATTAACTATTACTAAAATATTTTCTAACTCACCTTCCAAAAATAGTGAAAGTCCACGTCTTGAGAAGGCACGAAGCCAGATCGGTGGCATTGCGGCCGAGTACTTCTTTAAATGCACGGCCAAATTTATGACTGCCATTGAGTGATGGTAGATGTCGAGGTTTCTCCAAGCGGACCGCCGAAAACAACGTATTCAAGGAGGAGAGGGTGTTCCCACTTCCTTAAGCCCCCGTCTTTGCACTCTCCTTGAGGTTCTCCTGTCCCTGGATTAAGCTCATTTTCGCCCCCTTCCAAATGCCATTCCTCTATGACGTCTGATTTCTTATCTCAATGTTAATCGCCAGATATCACTTAATGCCCATTTTAAACAAATTGGGCAAAAGGTGTGTCGATGGGAGGGAATTGTTGACTCACATCACATAAATTGCGCCACACTTTGCGCATAACGCGTAATTTGCAATTTTTTTAATTTTTTTTATTAAAGGGAACATCTGATGTCACAGTTACTAATGCCGAGAATGTGAGGTAACGGTGGGGTTCCCTACGCAAAGTAGAAAAAGTTTGCAAAGCACAAAACAATAGCTTATTTAAAGCGATCTTCGGCACAGCTTGTCAGCCGTCATCGTTGGGGCTTGAGCCTAGGGGTATCGCATCTTGGTACAATTAACTTTCAATGTCCATTGCCAATTCTGTCCTGCCAAGGCTTTCTGACAGTGTATTTCAGTTGGAACATGGCAACTTATCTGCTGGAAAACACAATAACACCCACTTAAACCGCGGCCATCGAAGGGGCACAGGGGATGGGGAGGGGACGGCATGACCTCCTCTCCCCTTGCCAAGATGTCACGTGTCACGTGGGCAGAATTTGCGACGGTGAGGTCACACGCCCTTTGTGGGAATGCGGTTTTCCCATACATTTAAAACAGAAATTCGTGCTGTCTGAGGTCTACTGTACACGTAAAGCCTGGACAGATATTTTGACAGCTCAGACTCGGAGAGTGAGTAGGGAGAGGATAGCGTTGTTAGAGACCGCATTGTGCTTGCCAGGTTAATGAGCATCAGGAATGCATAAACCTCTTCCCTTTCATGAGTCAGACGGTCGGTCAGCAATAGAAGGTGCATGGAACGGTAATAACAGCTTTTTAAATATGTCATTTGGCATACCTTTTTTCTTCATCTACAACCTTGAACGTTGAACAAAAGTTTCCTTTTTGTCCCACAGCGCAACAATACAGTGTAGAGCTGCATAAGGCTCTCCTTTAAGGAAGTAGCCTTTGAAGCTTGTAACCTTTTTCCAAAAGGAACATTTTCTTGCCTCATCTTCTCCTAAGCTAATGCAAAAAAATACTTGATGAGAGGTTTTGACACTCAAGAACCCAACTTAACAACGATTTGCATAGCAAACACTTTTAAATTCAAGGGAATGCAGTGACAGGCACATTAAAACAGCACTGATGATCCGACACGTGGCCTTGTACTCGTGGTGCAGTCATCCAAATAGTTGCGTGCAGACTGCACGTCTCAACATGCAACCACGGATCCCTGTAATGGCTCTATTGTAGTACACTCGACCTTTTTGCGCTGACATCCATGGATGGTGCAAATAGGTGACATTTTTTGTACTAATAGCAAATATGCAAGGTGAGTGTTCACCGCCTCTTCCTAAATTCAAGATTTAATTTCAAGGTCAAGAGCAGAATGCTATGGAGGGGAGTGAGTCACGTCAAGAGGTGATTACACGATGGCACCTGATTCGAGTGTCATCATCCGAAATCTCAACGTCTTACGTAAACAATTCCATTCAAGCAGCCTGTGTAAGGGCTCGGTAAAGTGACCTTAAAATCACGGTTTGTAGCCTTCCAGTCCACTTTTATGAGCTGCAATAAGTCTCAAATAAGTTATACAAGCGTTATGATCAATGGCTCACAAAAGTACCTTGTAGCGCTTCGAGAGAGGCGGAGGAAAAATTGGACTTCGACTTGGCCCGGTGGCTGGCCCACGGGTAAAAGATCAAGCCGCATAACAAAGCATCCTCCATATGTACAGGTGGTCACATAAACAAAGTGTTGCATTAACACTCTCCTCTTACGAGCGACGTCTTCGGTGCTCCTCTTGGTATACCTCCCTCGCCAGCCATCGCAACGCATTCAGCACTACAATGAGGCACTCACGAGCCAGCCGCTCCAGTTATCAGCCACCACGAAACTGTGGAATCGTACTTGCCCTTCTCAGTAGCTTCAACTGAACCTGGAACTGCGTTCCGTCTGAGAGCGACAAATCATGTAGAGGAACTTCTGCTGACCATCAATCGTTTGCAGAACTAGATGGTGGTACACTGGTCCAAAACAGATGTTTAACAGGAGAAATGGGATCAGATGGAGGCCCGTGTGGAAGGAGGTTAGGCGCAGTGTCACCTCCCACGCCTCTACGCGGATGTAGTAAGGGTACTTCCAATGCATAAATTTTACAAATGGTTCACGCTAGCTTTAGGCTTCATTTGTTAATAGCCTGCTTGTAGGACGTGGGGATGAGGTAGAGCCAAACACAAGCATCATTCTTAATTGAGACAATCTCCCACCCCTAGCGTTTGCGCTTCCTCTGCACCGCCGAAATATGTCCCAAACGGTGAGCACCAGGCTAGAAGAAGTACGAAAGTGGGTTCTACTTTCCACTGACACCAGTGTAGCGTCTCGAGCCTTCGAACAGGTAAAAGAAGGTGGTAAGCGAAGCTGATTAGACGTATGCTAGGAGGAGACGAAGAGATCGGGCCTTGGCTTGACCCGAAGACCAACCTACGTGTACAAGAGTATGACGAATATCAAAGTAACCCTCGGACACATTGGTGATCAAATAAGCAAAGTATTGCATGCCTCTTCTGTACTGACAGAAAAAACCTTGACCCCTCAACCCCTCGGCTCAATACTCAGTAACAAGTGATAGTTACTATCAGGTGCTATGGCAGGGCGGTTCTTCTTCTGTCAAAAATCAAACCCAGCTAATGCATCCTGATGTGCCTTGGATAAGCTTTAAAGCAAACCTTCCTGATCTGGGGCCTGAAGTCGCCTTATCACCAATCCTCAACATCCCTTAAGGCTTGAATGCAAAAGCAAACCAACAATTAATGTGAGGAATAAAAAAATTTTGCGATTACTTGTGATCCACTTCATCCTTCTCATTCAATTGCGACAATCCAACCCAAATGAAGTGGCAATCCGTTAAGAGGTGTCACGAGATGCGGCATGTAGATGCCGCTGCTCAGAATCTACACTAAAGAAGGATATTGAAAACAAGGTGCTCACCACCTTATTGGTATCCAACAAGAGAAGGTTCTTAATGGCTCCACTGAAGCTTTAGGCACTTTCGATTAAATGTGGAGAGAACCTTAAAATTGCTATTTCTAACCTCCTGGTGGAGATTCAAAAACAAAGCGTGTGTCTCCCGAACAAAAATAGTTGAATGGTAACGAATTGATCTTGTTGAAGCTCACTTTGGCTGTTGTTTATCTTTACAACTAAAAAAGTGATTCACTTCTTCCTTGAATCTTCAAAAAAAGAAGGCTGATGGTGGTAATTGAGAGACTCATCTATATGTTGGAGTTACACTGCTTTTAATTATCGTATCTCAATAATGAGGGAAGCTTTTTACCTCTTCTCCACCCATCGTGCGTGATATACCTTCAGCCGAAACGAATAATTTGATGGCGTCCCCCAAGTTCGAAGGAGCGGTACGCCGAAGATGCTGTTGAACAGACATGCATCCCAACGCCATTGTTACTGCAAGCTCGTCTCCTTTGCTTCCAGGCGGACCAAAAAGGATCCAGCGTGTGCTTTCATGGGCATTGATGTCCACGTCGTAGCGCCTAAGTGTGGAACTATGGAAGATTGGAACAACTTCTAACTCCCACCTCCTTAGTGCCTGGTCTATGCAATCTTGAGTTTGCTGCATGCGTCCCGAGGACATAGTTACGCTTACGTCTGATAAGGTTGGCAAACCACTAACTGGAAGGATGCTATATTGAAATAAAATTCCGTTTCCTGCAATAATTAGAGCTTCTAAAACTACTGCTGGGTGGCAAGTTGGTCTATTTTAGTACTCAGATGGCAACGAGGTCTGACTTGGCGGCTTTTAGACGTTCAGTCGGATGGAACGTTCTGCTTAGCACTTCTGATATTGACTGATCGAGAAAGTGGATATGAAAATAGGACACAATGCTGCCCCACACCTTACGTAACCTCAACTTGATCGCGGTTAATTTTTCTTTAGACAAAATGACGACCTGGTGGATGTGTCCAACGCAAAGCAACTGATTTTGGAAAGTAATCCTTCTTGGGGATGTCCTTTTTCTTTCATCTTATCCATAGAAGCCACTAACTCAACTCAAAAATCCCCTTACTAGCTACAACCACCATACCATAATTGGTATGGTGGTTATTTTGTCAAATCACTGTCTCGCGATTGAGCCTCGTTGGATGGACTGGGTCCCCGGTCATGCATCAGACCTCCTTTTGTCTGTAGAGGGATCGTGGCGGGCTGCACTGGTGCCACCAGAAGGATGGCCCGATCGTAATGGGCACCCAGCTTGATTTTGATTGCTGGATGACAGACTTCAGAAGTACCCGCAATACGCCTGAGAGGAATTTTAACAAACTCAGCTGGCTCCTTCTCCAACTCCTCTAGTTTCCTCGTCTGCAGGAGTCATGTAGCTCACTGTGGTCATATCAAATGTAAAACTATCCAGACTAGTGTAATACGAGACTGTCAACCATACTTACATAAAGATATCAAATGTGCGATAGCACAATGACTCTTCCCTTTCCATGCTAGCACACTGCTATCCAAATTGAGAGGGCCAGTCAGAACCGATGGTAATCCCTCTGCGACTATTGATGAATGCCGGTGACGGTCAACACATTCCTCCACTTCCTATTTCGAAAGAAGCTCCTAAGCAAGTAGCGTAAAGGCGAGAGGTCGAACGTGAGGAGACCTATGCAACGCCTGATGTTACTTTAACATCAGATCTCAGTGACATGATTTCTTTTGACTTCTGCTATATCTCTTTCCTCAAGCTGTGCCAGTAGTCTCAACGCCTTTGTAGACCTGCAGTAATTATGTGGTCTAAGTACAGTGCTTTCTCCTGTCTGTAAAAAAGTTTGGTCGCACAACACTCCACTATGCAATATGCTATTCTGAGAACAGTTAATGGTTGGAGGGCACCAGGTATTTTTGTCAATGAACACACTCTCCTCTCTCACCCCCACTCTCCATTTTGTCTATGTCTCTTGGCTTAAAGTTGCAAATCCGTAATATGTACGAGTCAAACTGAAACTACTTAACGACTACTTCAGTAGTATCAGTCATATGTTAGCCACCATATTGCCTAATTTATTTTTATCATGTGGACCTCAGTAGCTCACCAAGGCTTGACTGGAAAAAGCACAGATGCCACGTGAATTGGGAGTGTTAAAACTTTGCTGTAATAAATTTTTTCCCCATACATCAATTTTTTTTACCAATGCCATCTCATCCTGCCTCCGCTCCAAGGCAATAACATTAAGCAACTCCACCTACTTTGGGATTCTGCAAGACTAAAGCAATAGGTGCAGAATTTCAAGCGGCAGTTCTAATGAACTCGCAGAATTATAACCACCACATTCCGCTGTCCTTCCAATCTATGCTCCTCATCGCCTCTGGCCGAAAGAGTTACCGTTGACAATTGTTGCACTGCACCAAACCCACACACTATTCATGCAAAGACATGTCTGTGGGCACTCTTTGAATGTTGGCATTAAATGTCCTCATAGTTATATCCCATTTCAGTGGGGTAACCACCCAAGGAGCAGAGTCGTCAAGCTGTTCCACTAGTGGGTAAGCTAAGAGCGGTTTTCAAATCAATCACGAACTTTCTTTGGGCCCTTAAAAACCACTTCTCCAGCATGTGACAACCAACTTGGCAGGTGTCAGCATTCACTTCCTTTTATCCTTTATCATGCCTAACTCAATAAGCAATGTGATTACAATGCAAAATGGCACTTCAACAATATACGTTATCCTTAATTGGAGTGGGAATGGTTTTGGAATGCTTCAATCAGTTTGATGTTCGGTGATTTTTTTGCATCCGCGCGTCATAACGCCCCATCATTGACGCACATTAAGTCAATCGGATTAAACCACTCCAACTGCCCTCCATATGACGGTGAGGAGAAGAAGATGACGAGTCCGTGTGGCGTAATGCAGAAGGTAAACAATTTATTCACTTCTATCAACAAAATACTGGGTCATGCATAAAAAATTTCTGGCAATACCACTCATCCATATCACCGACAACTAGCGGTAGTTAAAATGTGGAAATCTATGAGGCCGAACACAATTAATGGGACTTCACTGCGGCATCCACATTGTGCAATTGGTAGTAGATGCCTTTGGCAGCCATTAGACCATCGGGCGGTCCGATTTCGCATTCCTGCCCTTCTTGCAACACCACAATGACATCGCAATTCTCCACTGTGGTGAGACGATGTGCAACTACCAAACTTGTGCGTCCACCCTTCGCCATCGCCTCGTCCAATGCGGCCTGCACTATGCGCTCCGACTCGTTATCCAGCGCTGAAGTTGCCTCGTCCAGAAGCAGGAGTTTCGGTTTCCGTATCAACGCCCGTGCTATCGCAATGCGCTGCTTCTGACCACCCGACAACTGCGAACCGCGTGCTCCCACTGGCGTATCGTAGCCCTGATTCGGAATGAAAACTTCGGTATTAATACGCTCAACTTGTAGAATTTTTTATTTCAAACTATGATATTATAGTTTGAAGACCTACCTCCGGTAAATTCTGGACAAATTCATGAACGTTCGCCTCCTTTGCAGCCTCAATGATCTCCTCCATGGGCACTTCCCTCGAATTGTCACCATAGGCTATATTCTCTCGTATGCTTAAGTCGAAAAGGTTTGGCTCCTGAGAGACAATACCAATCTGTTGACGGATCCAATTAGGCGCGAGAGTGCGGACGTCGTGACCGTCCATAAAGATTCCACTTCCTGGTCCGTGGGGACTGACGTCGTATAATCGCTGAACCAGTTGCAGGATTGTCGATTTTCCACAGCCAGAGGCGCCCACAAGAGCCACACTATCACCAGCTTTGACAGTGTAATTGAATTTCTCAAAAAAAAAATACACAAATTTCACATAAAGCATCCTCGTCCTCGGGTTTCATCATCAAAATTACTTCCAAGAGACTTGTCGGCAATGGAAGAATGAGCCAGACCATGGGCTAAGTGAGTCCCTTTCTTTTCGGCAGACTTTAGCATCAATGATAAAACCGGTTTCAATTTAAAATAAGTATTTTACTGTCATTCAATGTTATGCAACTGCAAGTTTATTTTTTTCTTGCAAAAGACCACTGAAGTGGCTCACTGTCACTGTCTTTACCGCACGCAAACGGATAACACTTGAGTCATTCATTGGCCCACGCAAGATTTCAAGAGTCTTGGGTGCTCTCCCCATTCACCAAATGCTGATAAAATCATGTACTCAAGGTTACAAAGGAGCACGCAAAATAAACTCGAGTTGGTGACGATGGAACAGGGCACTGCTGTTAACTTTTTTGCTTTTATTAGCGCTACGTTGGTGAATGCGAAACTGGTTGTGTGGATTCTCTTGGGCTGATTTACGCAACCAACCGTCAAGTAATCACACATTCACTCAACTTCATGATGCATCAGAGGAGTTCATCGCCACACTCGATGTCTGCGCTGTTTCACGCGCATCAAAGTGAACCATGTCAAGCCTTTCTTGTCACTGCCTCGGTTACAATAGGAACAGAGGGCTTTAAAGTGTGCTCTTCCTTCCCCTTCCCTGAATGAAGGTGGTGGAAATGGTTGAGGGCCAGAACTAACGGTTTCTTCACTAAATTTGGCAAACTTTACGTCAGAGCAAATAACTTGGTACACTTTTCGGACCTTCTGTTTGAGTTATCTGTGCAAGTGTCCAAGTTCATACGCATGATTTCAATTTTGTTCTCAGATGATAAAAAATGTCATGTAGAAAGTGGAAGGAGGGCCTTACTCGGAGGACTCGAACATTTTTGCGGGTTGGATAACGGAAGTACACATTTTTGAAGACAATAGAGCCACTCAAAGGTTCACTCGGATAGTCGCCCTCTGTTACATCGAGTTTTGTTTGTCGATCCAGAGTTGCAAATACGGAGGCAATCCTATCAGCGGCCTTCTTAAAATCGGGTGTCAGAGCAGCCACGCGTGTAAGACCCTGAGCACCAAAGTTGAATGCGGAGAAGGTACTAAGAGCAATAAGAAAGTCCGTACATGGAAGGACAAGCAGTTATGATGAGCCTTTATAACCATCTCTCCCTTTCTCTTGCCAAAACATACCGGAAAACGGCAAGCACATCGAGGGTATGAGAATTCATCAGCACAGCACCAACGTAGAAAGATGCTGCTGTTTGGAAGTAACTCAAAGCGTTTGCAATGCCGTGCACCAAGCCAAAGAGAAGGGAGTCATTCACTCGTTGTCTAGGCAAATAATTCACAAACATAAACATCCACTTTTATTTTTACTTTATTCAAAGCCCCACAAGCTTACTTGGTGCCAATATCTGACTTTGAAACGAACTTTTTGTAAAAGTAGTCTTCTAAACCGAAAGCGAAGACAGTTTTCTCTGCTGAAAGCGACTCCTGTACCACCTGAGAGCCAGCGACCTCGCGAATATTCATCACCGAGCGGATATTCTTCATCTGTTGGAGGCAAATAACAATAAATGTTTTGGTCTTTTTAAAGAAGTTAAGGAAGCTCATAAATGTATCCATTCCGCCAACACCTACTCACCACATTCTTTCTACAAACTTTCGCCACAATCAACTTTTTTTTCAAAAAGTAAGGAGGACTATGTAGCAGTGATCAAGTGGCATCGACGATCATCGTGTCCGTCTACAAAGACCTTAACCAGGTTGTTTTAAAACGCTGTTTGAGCGGAGGATTTAAAATTGTCAAAACCCCTACTTCAACAGTGTAGGGTGAACAAAGGAGTGAAAAAATGGAAAAGTCGTGTTTTTAAGGGTGGGC